CGCTCCCGCGGGGCTCCGGCCGGCTGGAGCCCGGCCCGCCGCCCCGTACTCACCGGTGCCGGGCGCGGCCGGAGCCCGCGGCTGGAGGCGGCGGCGCCCGGCGCCCCGACGCGCCCGACGCTGTAACTGTTACTGAGGGAGCCCCCGGCCGCGCGCGCCTTTTAAACCTCAGGCCACGCCCCCTCCCTCGGGACCACCCCGTCCGTGTTCCGACCAATCGTTGCCGCCCAATCGTTACCCGCCTGACCAATCAGCGCCGCCCGACCGTTATTTGCCACACCAATCATTACTTTATCGTTTAACGGTTCCTGATTGACCGTTACACTGTCTGAGCCCCGCCCGCGTGCTCAGCTGTTCCTCGTGGAGCCGTTAGCTGCACGCCCGACCGTTACGCGGCCGCCCGACCGTTACCCGGTCGCCCTGTGGCCATAGCGCGTGTCCCTTGCGGCCGAGCGGCGACCGTTAGCAACCGCGGCGGCCCTGAGGCGCCTCGCGCGCTTGGGGCGGCGGTGCCGCCGCGTCCTTGGTGGTGCCGCCGCCTCCTGAGCGGCGCGCGGTCCCGAGGAGGTGTTGGCGCAACGAGCAGCCGAGCGGCTTGTCGCCCCCTGTCCGCCCGCGGGCTCCGGGACAGCAGGGAAGGGTGGGTTGCAGGCTCCCATGGGTAGCAGGGTGGGGTAGCGCTCCCACGGATTGAAGGGTCTGCGCCAGCGGTGCCCCGATTTCCACCAGGGGAAGGGCCGGCATAGGGTGGGCAGTCACGGGCCGGGGCGGGGGGAGGCAGCCAAGTGGGAGAGGAGGGTTTGCGTGGCCGCAAAAATATTTTAGGGATGGGCGGGGAGGACAGGGGCTCCCTTAGCGGGAGGAGGGTGGTAGAGACAGAGTCTAGGAGCAGAAGGAGGTGGCACGGGCTGGACCCAGCTGCCCGTAGCTCGACTAAACCCGGGGGAGTAAAACACCCGACTAAACACCGGGAGGGCATAAAACGGGGGCGTTACCCTGGTTGGAGTCAGGGTACACAGGTTTGATAGCCTGTGTCTTAAAACGTGCCTGGGCTGGAATACCGCCCGTCTGTAGGTGTATTGTCATTTTAAACATTACAGAAACAGGCTTCAAGCACTACATTTGAGATGTAGAGGGAGAATGGAGATACAAAACACATTTTTTTTTTTTGTTTTGTTTTTGTTTTTCTGATGAATTTTCAATGAGTGTGAGAAAGATACAGGTTCAGATGCAGGAATTCTTCAGCTGTTAGAAATGTGACTTAAAGAGTTTCCAGACTATAAATGGAAGGAGAAATTAGATGACCCTTGGTGTTTGTGTCGGCACCTATGGCCCCATTTCAAGGCAGACTAATGTCCTTGCAAACCTCTACCATCAAAAGAACAGCTTTCAGCAGATGATGCTTTAATTGTGATTGATTCCATGCCAGGAAAGCCCACACCAAATTTCATATTGACTTAGTTACAGTCTAAGACTCCCTAATTGCTCAGAAAATCCTTATAAAATTCAAAGGATCTTTGCTGGTGTGGGGCGGGGGAGTGGATCTGAGCTGCATTGCAGCTGGAGATATACAATTCTGGTTACCCAGTATAACATGGCATGATTAGATAATTCCGTTCCCAAAATTTTCAATTTTCAACTATTCCTGATTTTTTCTGCATAATCTTCCTGAGTTCCCATAACAGGTTTCAAATCAAAGGTAAATGCACACACAGTCTTTTCTAGCTGGACAAATTCAGAGCTTTTCTCTGATAGATATAATGCCAGAGCACATTCTTTCAAGGCTAAACTGTTGCAAATTACTCCGAATTTAATTTCCCTAGATGATAACACAGAGAGCGTATGTTGAAAAACTTCTCTGC